CGGGGGGAAGCGGAATCGCGGTGAGAGGTTAGCAGGGTGGGTCCAGGTCTTTAAGGGCGATTAAGGCCCACGGACTGAACGGACTGGACGGACTCGATCGACTGGACGGACTAGCAATCGTGCCGCGCCGTGCCGTGCCGTGCCGAATAGTGAGCAACCAGGACGGAACAAATCGGATCGGAACCAGCTGCGACAGGGGCCAGCCCTCAACCCCCTCTCCTGATCTCCGAGTTGCATGTATTTGACCGGCACTTGGATTCAGTTGCGGTCGATCTGGTAGGCTGCGTGAAGTTGCTTCCTTAATAAAATCACTACGGTCTCTAAGACCGAAGTCGGCATGTTCCTCGCCAGGAACGGGACCCGCATCAACAAGGAGGGTTGCATAGCGCCGTGCCCCACCCTCGCAACCTGGTCGGGTATGCATCCTGTACATCCGAAAAAAGGTGCTACGTATTGGTGTAGCTATCAGTGCTATTTTCTTAAGGACCGTAATTGTGTTGTAACACAGATTGGATGCGCCCCCCCACACACCCCACACCCCACCCTTTCCCTATCCTCGAGCCAAACATCCAACAACCGCATCCTGGTGACTGCATCCCCTCCCCTCCGCCATCCTCATCCTTGGTGGGTTGGCGTGGACCCTTTTAAGTATGCCGCCATCTTGGGCCCTCTGCCTGCCATCCTTATCCTGGGGGTTCCACATTTCTATTCTACTCTTTCCCATCCGTATTCTGTGCACGACCGTATGCCGCATCCTGACCGTTCTGCCATTCTCCGGTCACGAGCCCTGAGTGCAAAATGCCGTGTGCTATGCCAAGAGCTATACGTGAATTTATGGATGTAACAGACTAAGGAAAAGACAAACATGGACCTTAAGTCCGAATTCGGCCGCGAGCACCATAACCGTCGCGCCTTACAACAGCACGGACTGCCCGCCAAATCTGATGTGCCTCTGACACGATTGATCGCAAGATGCATATCACCAGCCGAGACTTTTCCCACGGTCAGCGCACTTCCGCGCACTTGCTCTTAACTTGCAAAAAGGAAAGGCCCACACACGGGATTCTTTGTTTCGCCGATTGCCTACTCATGGTCTTAGGTGTGACACACCTATAGGCGCTACAAGACCTACAAGACCTACAGCAAACAAACCTTCTGGCAATAAAGCATATTTGCTGGAAAGTTGTACTTCAGCATGCCTGTTTCTGTATAGTTACTTGTAGAGCGCTAGTTACACAGCAGCTGGGAAGCAAAGTAGCCAAGTGTACCTTGCGACCCATGGTCCGTTTTCCTGGGCTAGAAGGAAGAAACCGGGGCAAATCGCCCTGGTGTGTCAAGCGGTCCTGCACACCTGTCCAGAGCGCGTGCCTGATGCATAGCTAACTCAATGTGCGGCTCATGGTTGGAGCGGATGAGCTGGGCGGTGAGGCGACGAAGCGTGGCAGACTCGTCCGTGGAAGTTGAGGCCATAGCGCAACTTCTTCCCACGACTCGCTTGACCGCTGAAAATGTTGGTACAGCTAATGTATTGAAATTTGTGGATGAGATCTCTGAACTTGACGGTTCGTTGGTGATCCTATGGACGTGAACATGGGGTATCTCAAAAGCTACTAACTATTCGTTACGCGCGAAAGACCTGCTGAGGAACAAACGACTCAAGTCGTACTAGATGTCAAAGGGAACGATGCGGTGTCAAAAGTAAAATCATGTCACAGCATCCCCTTTCATCCTTGGACCTTGAACAAAACTCCGCGCTACTCGTTAAATCCCTTCCGTTCCTACGTGAAATTCTGGAAAGCAGGCCTGCGGGCGACACCAGTCCGTCCTTGTCTGGGTAGGTATAGAAGTAAGCCGCCCAAAGCCATCACATAATTACCCACCGTTTTGTTGGACATAGGAGAATGAGAAGTCCCCTTGGATAAATGCACTCATTCCTTCTGCAAGATACAATACATGTGGCTGTAAAAACCTTGCTTAAATTCCGGCAAGTTCCGCAGGGACTTTGGACGTCATCTGCTTCTAGTACGCGTGATTATCATCGTGCTGACATAGAGCAAAAGGCATGGGCAGCTGGTGAAATAAGCGCATGGGAGTTAAGGCCTGCAGGTACCCCGCAGAAACTACAATGAAAAGGTTGAAATACGGTCAAGCACAACTTGGCTCGATGGCCATACCTCCCCTCTCAAGCCCGCGGGGGGCCAAGGAAATTAAGGTGCTATCAATGTAACAGAGTGGATTAGCACATTCCTTATGGTACGTGGGTAAGAGGCCATGTGAAACACTTGCCGAGGACACAGCACGGCAGGTTATGTACACGAAGCAAAACAAGACAAGACATGCAGAGGAACAGAATACAGATAGACAGACATATGTACACATACAGAATGGCATGCAGACTGCCCAGCTCTGAGACTGCCTATGCATACATTTTTACCCTTGATTTGACATACGTTGTACATACAGAGATAAATTTCAATACTTGGACCAAGTCCACACGCAGGTTTAGAATCCAATGCTCGTCATTTCACCCCGGGGTGAAATGACGAGCATCCCTAACTTCGCCATTCATACGCGATTCGGCTCAGACGTCACCGAGCTACGCAGCATTTTAAAACTATACAATTTTTTGTTTGCAACTTGCTGTAAACGGAAAATACGCTAGAGAACCTTGCCAACTATGCTCGCGCGGAAATTCGCATCCTGGGAATCAATTAATACTGCACGCGATATTTGTATGTTGTTTGTTCATCTGTCGCTCGGATCGGTCGGTTGGTCGGCATTACAGGAGCCACGTAAGGCCCCAATGGGCAGATAGACTGGAGGGCGTTGCCTTCCGCCATGAGCCCACGTGACCATGCTGCCAACGCTTACCAGCAGCGGGTGTCTCTGACCATATCATGCAACAATCCAATGCGAATTACGATTACGCCGATTACGGCGGGCAAGTAGATATCATTGTCACAACTCGATCAACGCCCCGCTCACTATGCCCAACCCCTATACTACTTCCCTGCTGATATTCCTTTTCCCCCTCCGCCCTTCTCCCCCTCCTCCCCCTCCTCCTTCTCCCCCTCCTCCCCCTCCTCCTTCTCCCTCTTCATCTCGACGAAGCCCCTTCTTCTCCAGTTCACACACCTATTCTCTCTCCGCTAAAGGTCCGAATCTCCTTCCCCCGCTCCTGCCCCCCCCGGGCCCTTGGAGGGAGCTCCCCCCCGACGTCCGCCGGCGCCTATGCGCCTAAACACACGCTGCAACGTCTGAGCCGGTACCTTGACGCCAGCAACTAGCGTGTCCCTACCCGCCACCAGCCCCTCCAACAACGCATCTTTCCCCGCCACTAGCCCCTCCAGCAGCACATCGCCCAAACGCTCCGCCGGTGCCTGCACTGCACCCACCACTGCTCCCACCACCTCCGCCATCTTGGCGCCTGGCGTGAGGCCGTACGCCCGGTCTAGGCACCTTTGCAGCGAGCCCAGCGTCACATCGGTAACGGTGCGTTGCGGCACTCGGGCCTTGTCGTTGATGTTGTAGTGGCGGTAGCGGTGGTAGCGGTGGTGGTCATGGCATTGCGGTCGCGATGGCGACGATGAAGTTGGTTGTTTATGGGCGGTCGGATGTCATGGGCGAATGGAGGTTGGGCAGGTTGGGGAGAGGAAGGTTAGGGCAGGGTGGGATGGACAGGACAGCAATCTGAGGTTAGGGTGGGTGCGAGAAAACCAGCAGCCAGGAGGGAGGCGGGGGTTTGGGAAGAGAGGAAGGGGGAGACGGACGGGGGGAAGGGGAGAACGAGGAAGGCGTGATCACCTTCCTCGAGGTGTTTTCGGACGGGGCCGCACAAGGGACACGCAGTTCTTTCGTCCCTGCACCTGACCCGTCTCCTCCGGGTCA